TGAAAGTGGATCTGAATATGCTCTTAAGTGCATTTTGTGTGGCCAAGCGTTCATATGAATGTTGATTTGTTTTGTGATGGAGTTAAGATGCACCTGAATGTAGTTGAAGATGCATTTTGTGTGGTATTAAGGTAGGGTGCAGTTGAATAAAAGGCATGGTGCATGTAATTGAGATTTGTTCATATGAATGTTGATTTAGTGATTTAGTGATGAATTCCAATTTTGGAAAATGCATTTACAGTGCATTTGAATGTCCTAATAAGTGCATTTTGTGTGATGGAAAATAATGTGCAAAATAGTTTAGGTAAATGTGCAAATCAATTGTGAGTGTGCAAAATTTGATTTGCTTGTGATGAAGTTAATATGCATATGAATTCCAGTGTAGTAACTAATCTAACAAATGAAGTAGGAAGTTGAGAAAACTGCCACATAGTGCCACAAAAGAGAAAGAAAGTTGTCACGTGTGGGAGTAATATGCAAAGAAGAATGATTAATAAGGGGAAACAAGTAGAAGTCCTGCCTGATTGTGAATGTTAGAAAATATATACTTTCATTGTTTAAATTGGGTTTGTGCTACTTAAATTGAGTTTAGGACATAAGACTATAGATCTCATGCAGTTGCATTCTAAGCTTGAAAAAAAAGGAATTGAGCTTGCAGTGATAAGAAATTCGAAGCAAAACCAAACATGAATTCCAAGGTGAAAAATAGTACTACCTCCGTCCCACTAACATTGGGACGGAAGGTGGCACGGTTATTAAGAAAAATGTGTTTATGTGGTTGATATTGAATTGAAAAAGTAAAAATAAAGTAAGAATGATTTAGAATCACACAAACTTTACCATATTTGGTATGTGACAATCTTAGTGGGACTTCCCGAAAAGGTAAAATGGGACAATCTTAGCGGGACGAAGGGAGTAATTATTTAGTGTATTGAATCTATTATGGTGTATTTATGAGAAAGAATTGTTTCAAATGCAGGTTCATTTGTAGAAGACACTTTAGGTCTTGATTTGATGCAAAAAGAGGCTGACAAAAGGTTAAAATAGGAAAAGGCAAAAAATTTTGTATGGAAGAAATTAGGGAGTACATCAAGGGACCAAGGTAAAGGTTTATTACAACTAAACTGCATACACTATGTATTGGTCATCTGTATTTCCTACATGTGAACTTTGATTAAAATAAAATGCATTTAAAATGCATGTACTATGTAGTGAAATAAATGAAAACGGTGCAATTACTTTTAACATGTTGTGCTTATTCATTTAGTGCCATTTTCAATGAATTGTTCATTTAGACGTGCAAAAGTTAAGTATGCTTGTGAAAACACCTGAGATGTGCAACAAAGTATCGAAAGGAGGAATGGAAGGCTAAATAGGGAGAGGGAAGTGTGTGAGGAAAAACTCAAGGATGTGGTTGTGAATGATACTGAAGAGGGTAGTGAGGCGGACTTGGATGAACAAGAACAAGTTGTTAGTGATGAAGACTTTGTTAATATATCAAAAGAAGTCCAGAGAAACGAAAGGACATGTGCGGGCAAAGCAAAGAAGAAGTACAAGAAGGTTGTTTTGAACGAACTAAAGGTGCAATATAGTAGCCTGACTAGTCTCTACACAAGATCATCACTGAATATGATGATAAATGCAATTTCTAAATTGAATGAAAAACAACGAGAAGAAGTGCATAAATTGGGTTTGGATCGTTGTTAGACCTAAAAACCCAAGAGTTGCCTTCTAAACTCAGTTTTTGGATTGTGAACAACTTCGACCTCATTAGTTGCACACTTAAGTTAGATGAAGGAAGTAAAGTGCACATCACGGAAGAAGACGTTGAGAACGTTTCGGAATTCCCGTGCGATCATACACCAGTTTCAAAGAAGGGGAAAGGGGAGAAAAGTGAATTGGTGGATGATTGGAGGGCCTGTTTTGACGGAAAGGATAATGTAACTCTAATAGAGGTGACACTTTACGCACTTATTCTCGTTTTTGGCATTCAATTTAGTAACCGCATTCCTCACCACATTCGGTGATGATCTCATGTTGAGGCCATTGTACTGCACCTTCTATTCGTTCAAAATAGCATTCTTGTCCTTCTTCTTTGCTCTGCCCGCACATGCCCTTTCATTTCTCACTACTTCTTTTGGTATATTAACAAAGCCTTCATCACTAACAGCTTGTTCATGTTCATCCAAGTCCGCGTCACTGCCCTCTTCCGTATCATTCACCACCACATCCTTGAGTTTTTTCTCACACTTCCCTCTCCCTATTCAATCTTCCGCTCCTCCTTCTTTCCATACTTTGTTGCACACCGTTGCTGTTTCCACAAGCATCCGTAACTCCTGCACATTTAAATGTACAATTCAATCAAAATGACACTAAATGAATAAGCACATCATGTTAAAAGAAATTGCACCGTATTCATTTACTTCACTGCATAGTACATGCACTTTAAATGCATGTAAATCAATCAAAGTTCACATCTTGGGAATATGGATGACCAATATAAGTAGTTTGGTTGTAATCAAACCTTTACCTCGGTCACTTGATGTACTCTCTGATTTCTCCCTTATTCAATTTTTGCCATTTCCTTTTTTAACCTTCTCTCAACCTTTTTTGCATCAAATCAAGACCCAAAGTCTCTTCTACAAATGAACCTGCAGTTGAGGATAATTTTTTCTCATAAATACACCATAACAGATTCAATATACTAAATAATTACTATTTCTTACCTTGGAATTCATGTCTGGTTTTGCTTCGAATTTCCTGTCTCTGCAAGCTCAATTCCTTTTGTATCTCAATTGAATTGCCGATGGGTTCATCAGTTTTGATTTCATTTCGTTCGATTTAGAACGGTTTGGTTTTGGTCAGTTTGTCAATCAGCTTCACTTTATTTTTTTTCCTTCACTCCTAAATCGTACATGTGATTGAAAAATTTATAGAAGTGGGAGAGGTCATGAGTTGGAATAAATAGGGTGAATCCAAAGTTTAAGGCTAGTAGCATTTGCATTCAACCATTTGTCTCGGATTCAGCTTCTCTGTCTTGCTTTGACAAGCAAGGAGGATGTTTGGCCATTCTAAACCATCGGATAAAAAAAACAATGACATAAAATGAATGGGTAATGGGTTCATTTTTTGCACAAATCTCGAGATCTGAATGTTAATCCTTTCCCTTTATTCGAGTAAGGTACCCTACCATTAGACAGAGGATCTCAATCCATTTGTCTCTAGACTTACTATTCCCATCATAAAGTGTGGACCCGGTTTTGGTCCAGTCCCGATTCTAGTTCCGGGTCAGACGGTTCAGGTGTCAATGTAAGGAAGATCGGGTCCGAACTGAATAAATCCGGTTCCAAGCCAGTTTTGGTCCCCTGGGCGGTCCGATTCTGGGCCGAATCCGGTTCAGTTCTATCTATTATTTCATCTGCAAGGCAAAAAGAATGGTTGGTGCGGGACCAAAACTGCCTGGTCTGGTCCCTAAAAAATGAGAACTAAGACTGCTCTTTACTCAGTTTGGTCCGGTCCGGCACAGTATCGGACTACAAGACCGGGATCCGATCTGGTCCGGGACCACCCCTACTTACTCCTCTATATAATGATTGCTCATTCATTTCCCGATGGCATGACCATATCCCTCATGCAGCCGTCTTCTCCCAACTAGAGGTGGACTCGATCCGGTCTAGTCCGCAAGTGGGTCCGACACTGTTTGGGACCAGATCGGGTTCGGAGAATCCAATTCAAGCTTGGGATCAACCCGAGTCCGCCCAAACATGTTACCCGGTCTCGGTTCACCCATTTGGGGACCGAAGCGGGCGGTTTCGGTCCCGATTTCAGTTGCGGATCGGCTATTTTTTTTTTTGGCTTGGAAACGATGAAAAAGAAAAAATAGAATGGGACCGGGTCCTACCGAGACCGGACCGCCCGGGTACTCGAAATCAGTCCAAATTTAATTGGGTCAAACCCGGGCTTTGCTTACCAGGACCGGGTCAACCCTAATTCTCAATAAATCTTACTGGGAATTTGACCCAATAAATCAGTTTTTGCTTAACTACGTCTTCAATCCCTATAAATTTGACACACTATGTTTCATGTACTTGCATTTTTTTGTTTTTCTTCCTTGCAATATGCACTATTTTGTTTTTAATTCATCTCTAATCCTGAAACCATCTACTTATAAAAAAATTATTGTCAATTACATAAATCCATTAAAAATATTTTAACTTTCCTTCTATAACTTTTTAGGCTTATGTGAGAGGTAAAACAATGTAAAACTAAGTTTTCATATTTTAAATACATATAGGAGGAACCTTCTAAAAATAAAATTAAATATGTTTTGAATAACATGACATAGAACTAGGAAAAATCTATCAATCAAGGTTATTTTGAGGTCAAAGGGAAGTTTTTATCATCAATAATTGATTAAAAAAATACTCCCTCAGTCCCAAATTGTAAGATACATTTACTATTCACTTGGTCAACATAAATCACTCTTAATCTTTTACTTTATATATCAAGAGTTTATGAAATTTGAATTATTTTTTGCAGGCTTTGTAGCGGTTTTAATATAGTTTCTGAATATGTAAATTTTATTTTCTAAAACTAATTTGAGTGTTGACAGGGATCAATTTTCTTTATCGTCGGTCAAACATCGTAAACCGTAAAGTATCATACAAATTGGGACGGAGGGAGTAATAACATAAATTGCAGGGACAATAAACAAAAACAATAACTTTGCAAAGATGTAAAACAAAATTTACAATACTTACAGGGACTAAAAACATATTTAACCATCATTTTTTCTCTGGAACGTCATTTTTACCATTCACCAGCTTCTTCAAATCTCCGTTCAAGCTCAGTGTCAAATAGGTATATAATTAGTACAAAAATAGGTCTCTTAAAAATTTGGGTCGGAATTTGTAATACGTTTTAAAATATTGACCATTTTTTCTCAATCATGGAGCAAATCTGGATCTTGAGATGATCAAAATTGATACCTACTTGATAATCGAAGAACAGATTTGAATTTAACGAGTCTAAAAAGCACACCAGTCGCAAAATTAATGCACATGTAGAATGTGTTCAGAACGTGCCGATTGGCAGAATATTCAGATTAATCACTAGGTCAATCAGCCGTGCCGCCAACCCAGGTGTTCTTCACAAGCATTGTTTGAGATCATTCGATTAATAAATGTAAATGTTAAGTACTCCTTATTACTCTTACATTTTTGTCAAAAAATACAGATGCTATAGTACTTGATGTTACCATTAAATCTTTAAAGCTAAAGGTCATCAGATTTGTCTCCCTCTAGTGATGTCTTTCCATTTACGGCTACAAGCTCAGTGTCAAAGATAAGTGTTGCACCACCTAAGAAATTGACAACAAGACATGCAATTTTAGTAATAGGGAAGTATTGCATATCCCACCTTGAAAATGCCACTCAGCTTCTTTGTTATCTAAACAAAGCAGTTTCCAACACTAATGTATTTCCTTGAGGGGAAATATAATGAAAGAAATGGAACGATTCTAGTTCTTATGTGAAGTTAGATATATGGTTTAATTTTTTGGGTTTTAACGAAACACCCTTCAAAAAAATAGTGATGATGCTCTCTAAGTTAATGCAAAAACAGCTTATTACTGAGTTAATGCTCTCTAAGTTAATATCATAGCATTGTATTTCTGATTTGAAGTATAATCCAGCGGAAGGTAGAATATCAGGATCGAGGCTTCATGCACTATTGGTCCCAAAGGTGGGTGTTATGCTTCAAAAGAAGAAATTGGGATACAAGAAAAAGATGGTGGTAGAATTAGTATTACCTGGGATCTTAGGTGGGGACCCGTTTTCACCATAACCAAGTTTAGCAGGTATTTTTAACTTTCTCTTTTCACCCACACACATTCCAAGAAGTCCTTGATCCCATCCTGTAGTGTCACCAAAGAAACAAGAACATATATAAAAAAGAAAAGATAAACATGGAAATGTATTTATGGGTGCCATTAAAATGGAACCCTTTGCAAGCATACATATATCACATATTTCTGGCTTCAAAGAAATATGGTGGCAGAAAACTCCAGTAATGTTTCAATGAAATATTAAGACCCTTACAACCAAAAGAGTATTCGCATTAAGAAAACTGTCATGGTCGGGATACTGTTAATTATAGTGACAAGTTAGCCATATCACAACACTCAGTGGTTAGAGGTGGCTTCTTGATGTATTCTTCTAATGTAATGGCATACCAACCTAGTTGGCTAGCCACACATTAAACATGACCAGTTAAATTGACAGAGCTAGAAATAGCCTTGAATGATAAATTGATTGAACATGACCACTATTTTGACAGTATAGAGGATAAGTTTACGGATTTGATGCTATGAGGACTCTTAGGTACTAACAACATTAACATTTCTCAATAGTAAAAATATTTTTTTCATATGAATGTTATAATTTTTATGTTCTTAGTTTTTTCCAGTCATAGAGATGAGGAATAGAGGAAAATCATCAAAATAATGGCAGACAATAAAAATCACAGGTTTCAGGGATGAGATTGATGCTAGAAAGTAGTGCTAGGTTTTGCTGTCGGTCCGGCCCGGGTGATGAAACTGACTTAAATATTGACTCCTACAACTCTTCAATCAATTCATCCAACTTATTTAGACATTGTTTTCATTTATAAATGAGAACATCTTTAGCATAGGAAGTATTGAGAGATTAATGCAATTTAAGGATTTCTTAGAATTGGACATCCCAAGGCTGTAGGGAAAGTTATCTTGCTCAGGAATGCCTTCGGGTATCTATTGTTCTTTTCTTTCTTCTTCTACACGTACATTTCTTCAATTTCTTGCATTGTCATAGGACATTATACTATCCGAGTCAATTGATCGGAAATGCAAAAGAGGAGAATGTGTGCGCTGACACCGTGTCATTAAATCACACCAGATGTACATCCCAATTCAACTAATCAATGTAATTTATCAATTTTGCTTCTTAATAATCGTTTTCTTGATGCTTTTTGCTAGTTAACATTTTTTTGTTGGGCTTTTCTGTGTTAACGGTTTACTGATAACACATAAGAAGCGATTCTTATGGGTACGGTCTTTGAAAAAAAATAGGAACCGTTTGAAGAACTGTTAGATTTATACTGGTTTTGACTTCTCTTGAAAAATCGATATAAAACAATTAACTGATCAGAAATGGTTTAGATCTGTTCATAGTATTAAAGATCTCCCTTTTTACTCCAAAATATTTAGCATACCTTTGATCACGCTACCTTGACCGAGCGCAAATTCAATAGGGTCACCCCTTTCAAAACTGGAATCGAACACAGTTCCATCAGTAAGCTTTCCCTACAAAGATCATCCATCAATAAATTTCAATAACCAACCATGTGCAAAAAAATCTTCACCTGAAGATACGAAACTGATCTGATAGTACCAATTGGTGATATTAATAAACACAATAGGACCATCCCAAAATCGAGTTCCCAAATTAACAAGAACAAATCAACTACTATCACAACTTCATACATGTATCATTAGGATATTACGTAGTATATTATAAAAGAGATATTCCAGTGTTTCTTTTTATAAAAAAGAAAGCTTACAGTTAGGGTGAATAAGTGAGTGGTCATAGTTGTACTCACCCGATAATGTACTTTAATTCTATCACCTTTATGAGCCTGGAGTCCACAAGTACTTGGCTTGTGCTGCCACAATTGACAAACAAAGTAGACAAAATTTAGGAGAGAACACTAAATGACAAACCATGTAAACCTGATCCAAGTTCTATAATCACATGATTAAGTCAGTAGAGTCTAAGGAAAAACATTAACTAATATGTGTCTGTGAAACCATAGGCATACTTAATTAGATCAGATAAGTCGCAAATTGGTGGCCTAACCAGAATCTCATGTTGAACATTGACCACTACAGAACTTTGGCTGGAAACCACTTAATACGCACTAAAAAAAACTTGACAGACTAGTACAGAGTATATGTTATTATATAAAGTACTTAGATGATTAGTACGTAGCAAATGTTAAATCCAGATTTAGATTACAAAAGGAGGGGGTATGCATGATCAAATCATATAGTAGAATCATATGAGTGTATGCTTTTAATTAAGTAAAATGTTATGGAGTATTATAAAATTAATGAAGTAGTCAGATAAAGCACTATAAGACTTAAGTATGACCAAAAGGCCGATCACAAGTTCAGAGTGAATAAACTACGTACAATATAACTATATAACACAATAAACACATTCATCAAATAAAATAAAACATTCATTTCTTCTCTAAAAAATGAAGATTTTAGTTTTTGGTATGAACCTAAAGAAAAAATAAATAGATTTACACACCACAACCTAAAAAAATAATGTTTGCATATCAAATAAGGTACAAAAACTTTCCATCTCATAAGCACTTAGGAAGAAATTGGACCACCGAATCACAAAGCCCCTGATTTCATTTACCTTCACACCAATCTGTAATTCAGTTACATCCCCGGATTTCTTAGCAGTAACTGCAAACAGAGAAAATTAAGGCCAACCAAATTATGAATTGCTTCATCTATAAATATTCTCTTGGGTGCTTAACAAGTCACGAACAAAATTCACTTGGTGAACCCTAGAAAGAGTTCAATGTTTAGGAGGAAATGGACAACAAAAAAGAACATATCCCATTACCTAATGTTACAATCGCAAGAACAAGAAGAATTGAGGCAGACCCGAATCTCATTTTCCTGACCTGTTCTTTCACGTTTATCCCACTAGGTGCAAAAAACCAGATCGATCTCACTAGGTTGCTTACTCTTTGGGAGTACGGATAGTACGTGGGATAGGAGTTTATGATCGGGCGCGCTACGGTCCACGGGAGGCAAGGGTGGGCCACTAACGTAATGTTACGTAGCGCTAGCCAATAACAAATTCCCACGTCAGCTAAGAAATGAAATGATTTGAATAAAAGGAAGCTAACTGACATCGCGGCAATGAATGACTTTTCTCCTAATACTCACTCCGTCCCAAAAACAACTTCAGTTTGACAATCACACAGATTAATAAAATAAATTTGACTTTATTGGAGTGTACAGTTTTGCACTGTTTAAATACTGTTTGGCACTGTTTTGATGTAAATAATTTGCCAAATAAGAAAAGTATTGAAGTGTGAAGGTAATTTTGGGACATCCATTTAAGGAAAGTGGGGAATTGTTTTTGGGACGGAAGAAGTATATTTATGTAAAAAGTTAATCAAATTATACTTTTATACTCCGTAATACATAGTAGTACTTTAAAAAAGAACATTTTCATATAATTTTCATATTATCGATATTATCATGTATAAATATGTAATCAGTCAAAGTCGAACAACTTTGACTTTCATCTTTGACTTAAAAAATAGTGTTTGGCTAAATAAAAAGGGGCGGATGGAGTACGAAGTAATATATAAACAAATGAGTGAAATGATATTTTACAATAATAATTTCAATCAAATCATCCAGAAAGTTAATTTGAATCTTATTTATTTTGATTATTACACAATTTAATATGTGGAATCAAAAATCATATGTTAGCTGCAAAAAAAATTGTCTGGTAAAACTGATAAGGTGAAACGTGAGAATATCACATGAGCCCAATAATAATAACACAAAACTCATGGTAAACTTGATCCATATATATATTGGAATTTTTTTTGGATGTTTTTAGTATTTATTAGAATACATAAGATCAAATTAAAATTCAGTATATCATACGAAGTATCATATTAAAACAAAATCAAACTTAAACAATAGTAATATATACACATTTTATGTGATAAATATTTACTAGATCAAATTTAAACAAACTATATTAGTCCATAAAATTACAGTCAAACAAAAATATCTTTAGGACTAACCGTATGTAATTACTTGTAAATTGCTACGGTAAGCGTTTTGCATAGATTAAGACACAAAAATAATGAAGTGTAAAAAGTGTAATAGTATGAGAAAGAAAAATGAAAAAGTAAAAATCAGATGAAAAGGTAAAATAAAATTGACGAATACTATAAAGAAACTCTTTCAATTAATTAAATTAAATACTTCAAAAAAGAAACATTTTGCAGCTAATGGAGTATTTTTTGTATTCATCAATCCCAATTACCATATGATTTTTGTATTTAAAAAACATACGTGTGTTATTCCAAATTAATTGCACCGCTGAATTCTTTCTATATACTCTTTAAGTTTATTGTATTGATTAAAATTCAAGTATTCAAAACAACACTAAACATTCAATCCAAACACAAAAGTTTGATACAACAAATTAAAAACAAAAGCAAATATGGCTTTACCAGAGTAGTGAGTGAGACATGTAATTCGGGATGAGAGAATCACAGTTAAAGAGTCAAATGCATTTTTTGGATAGTTTGTTATATGGTATCCAGTGCGTTATGAACTTTTATTGTTAGGGAGTATTAAATTTGGAGTTTTACGTTTCTAAAGCATGTCTGATCTTGTCAAAAAAATGTCAGATAAGAAAAATGCATATTTAAAGGCTTGTTTTCAATGTTGATTATCACAATATACTCCGTGTTAAGCAAAAACAAATAAACATAGATTCTTTAAATAATAAGAGTGCGTCTAAAGAATCAGAACTGGTCAGAAAATATGTCCATCTCTCAAATCATATCTAGCATCTAACCTTTGGGCCCGTTTGTTATGACGTAAAGTAAACACTTTGCGTGTAAAGTGAGGGGAAGTAAACATTTTATACCGTTTGTTTTAATTATTTAATGTAAACTGTAGGGCACTTTTTTAAAAACATTTTACACCGTACCGTGTAAACTATTTTACGTGGGGGGAGGGTAGTAAACTGGATTACATCCATTCAACTTAGAATTAGCGGCAAGAATTCTCTGATCTTTTCTCCTCCTATGACGGCAAATCAATACGGAGTATTGCTCTTCTCCTCCGATGACAAAAAATTGCTCTTCTCCTCCGATGACAGCAAAGCAAGTCATTTTGAAGACTCCATTATGACTGCAAAGCAAAAACTCTCTTTTCTCCTTGTACGTAGTATATAAGAAAACAAAATCTGCTCTCCATCCAAATTAACAAAGAGGTTAACTTCTTCTAAAAAAACAGGTTAGCTTCTACAATAGATATACGTAGTGTATACTAGTATGTATATATATATATATATATATATATATATATATATATATATATATATATATATATATATATATATATATATATATATATATATATATATATTCGAAAATTGAATCTTTAGGTTTGAATTATATTCTAAGATTTGATGTTTAGTTGAATTTAAAAGCCATGTTTAGTGACTTTCTAAGAATTATGGAGTATTTCTAGTATTTGATTAAATAGAATAGTAATTTTTTAGTGATTAATCTTTTTCTAGTTGCTTCAAATACAATTACAATTTTGTAGTGATTAATCACTTTGCAGATGATGATCTAGTTGCTCCACGTTAATCATACCTGTAAACTTATTTGACAATAAACAATGTAAAGCGTTTGCGTGTAATTCAAAAAACGATTACACACATAGCCAAACGGTGTATTTCTATTTTACATGCAAACTATTTTACGGCCCTAAACTTTACATGCAATCACTTTGCATGTAAAGTTTTAATGTGCAAACTACCAAACGGGCCCTTTTATCAGAGTATCTGTGAGAGCCTAAAACCTTGACCATTTCGCATCAAATCTTTACAACTTACAAGCCTGTGAATGCAAAAAAAAAGAGAGAGAGAGAGACAGAGAAAGAACAACACGATCGCTTGATGGGTTAAGCCTTTTATTTGACATCTACATATGCTGTTTCTGAGTGTTGGATGATCATTTAGTTCCAGCTGTGAATGTCTATGTTGCACCGAAACGTGAGAATCATGGAGAAACGGGAATCGAGAAACACCATCTTTTAATAAGAAATACTCCGTAACTGTTTCGAAAGTTTCCAAATAGTTTCTGTAGAGTTTCCAAAACAGAAACATATTCTTTCCCAGTTTCCGCTTTTCATAGGTGAATGCATTATGTCCTAGTTCTTATTAGGAGGCAAGGCAACAGGAGGTTTCACTCGGATGCATTATATGCATCATAGATGTCCTCAATCTCCATTTCAGGATCACTTCCAATTATATCCCTGTCCAGACCACTCATCTCCTCATCAAGACCACTTATCTGAACACCTCCATAGTCTTCTTCTGAACTGCTATCGAATAAGTCCCTATCGCGTGTCTCATCTAGTAAATCATCCAACACGCCTTCTTTCTCTTTCTTAATTCTATACCCAACAAGGTTAAGAACCTTTTCTTTCCAATCGACCAGAGGATGTCTCTCGACTAGCTCCGAATTTTCATAGAATTCGTTCAAGAAGACAACAAATCTTCTACCTCTCTCCGAGACGTAAAAGATGCCGAAATGCTTTAGCAATAGTCTCATTAACTTCTGAGGCATCACAAACTCCCTCCTGAAGTGAGTCAAATGGTCTGTCACAAGCCTCTTCTCAATCATAAAGCTTAGCAACTCATGCATTACTGCCACTGCCCTCTTATCAAACTCCTGCGAACCGGCCTTTAACCCACTGGCATCTCCGTAAGGGGACAAATACTCCCTGTTCTGAAACTTCTCAATCTGAGGTTTGCACGTGGAAATCTTCTTCTTATAGTTTGGCGGGAACTTCATTGGGAAAGACAAAGAAAGAACACCTGGAAAAGAACCTTCCGGAGCTTTGCTAACACCCAAAGCTTTCTTTTCCAGCTCGGTAATTGCCCAGCTGGAATTCCAAGTCACTAGTTCCAGATACTCGCCCTCATCATAAGGCACGAAGGGTTTCACCACTCGGAAATGTTCCGGATATTTGTGCACCCAATGGTTTCTGAAATCCAAAGGCAAACCCATATCCCTCCTGAAATGAGCAATCTTATCCAGGCTAATGCGTTTATCGACAGACATCATTAACATTCGAGTCAAAAACTCTGCAGATTTATCACTGTTTTTCTCTATCAGGTCATCTTCTTCTTGCATTAGATTTTCAGCTTCTTTTGTCATCCCACACCATAAAACTCCCCTTTGGTCATTATAGAGTTCAAAAATCTTGGGAGATTTCCGGAGGAAATCAGAGAACTTGTGAGGCCTTGGGAGGTTGATTTGCCGTCGGTATTGATCGAGGGAACGTACAGTGATGATTTGCTCCGATTCTTGCTTGAGAGTTTCGAGTATGAAGAGGATCTTGGAGAGGATTTTTTGTTTCTCCACAACAATCTCAAGGTCATGGACACGCTTCTTTTTGCTCCGATCTTGTACTCTTTTGCTGGTGGTCATTAATCGCCGACATTCTCTAAAGAGTGATGAACGGAGTTCACCAAGAAGACCAATCCGGTGAGGCATAAGTTTGAGGATGCTCAGAGCAAAACCTGACAGGAAAGAAAAAGTGCTTCAAAACATTTTCTTCATCTATATGCTAGTTGTTAGAATTAAATCTCAAAGTACATCAAGGGAATCAAAGACAGCAAAGAATAAGTATGCTGGAACACATATTCAGGAACTTATCATATGGATGATCCATCATCATCATAATCAATGATTACCCTAGTGTCACAAAGGCTCCCACCTTCAGTGGGGTAAGGGGGTCAGTACACAGTCTAACCCTTTTACTAAAGCACCGAAAGACCGATGACCCATGGTGAAAATCGTGTCGAAAATTGTATGAACTAACTACTGCTTCAAAACAAAGAAGCGCAGACAGTTTAGTGAGTCATTTTGTTTTATTTCATCATATTCTCAAACCAAAAAATAGTGAGTCTTTGGCTCCATTGCAAGTGATGAAAAAATCATATGTATCATCCAATATCAAAAAATTTGGGAAAATGAGGTCTATAACTAGGCTTTGTATTCACCTTTCCTTTATTTTATGTTTTCTACATACGGATCATATTGTGTTGATTACCACCACACCACAGAAATGATTCCAGTAAAAGGTCCTTTAATCTAATTTGATGCAACTCCATTAGCAGGTCTTTGTTGTTTGCATATTTGACAAAAAAATAAAGAAAACATGGCATACCAATAAGGCCGATCACTTGAAAATACCACGGCCCATTGAGGAATTTCACAGAACACCTTATAATCAATATCAAAATTTGTTACTCTACGCTCCTGAATCCTTCAAACCTGTTGATCAAACACAAAAACATTTTTAGTAAGTGTCTTGAAAATGCAATTGCCCGTAATAATTTTCTGTGCCAGTAGTTCTCCACGACTCCACTTCTCCATGGAATGGCACTGGTCTTGGAAGGATATGATTAGAGATGACTTACATAAATGTACAACTGATCCTATTGTTTGTTGTTCGTGCTACAGGAGGATTGAATCATTGAAGAAATCCTTGAAGTAGCAGAGTTTTATTTCCCCAGATAGAGACCTAGGCCGGCCCTGATTATCGTTGGTAGGATGACAGATAACCAACAGGCTGCCCCTGAAATCCTGTTATCCAAAGCCTAAGCCCCAGAAATTCGATTTTTTTACGATGGCCTGCTGCGGAAGATGGAAGTACCGATTGCTTAATCCTCCTCCAGCGGCAATAGCCTGCTTAGCAGCTTAGAGCTGCCGGGCTTGACCTGCTTCCTTGCATAGAGCCTGCGGCCTGCCTTGCCGGTTGGTGCGAAGCTGCTTGGTTTGTTTTGTTAAAAAAATTCTTATGAATGCGTATTAGTGCATTATTACTGCTCCTTTTCCTATAAAACTTGGATACACATTTTTTTTTATAGAAAAAGTACTACAGGCGGAATATTTCAACTCAAAGATAAATAATTTCATTATGATTTATTGATTTATGAAATCCTTTGATTTAAGCACTTAGCCGTTTAGGTTCTTGGAATTAAATTATTTATGAACGTTAAGACTTCAAGATAAAGGCTCTATAATTTATTTTAATATTTCATTACTGTATTATTTTCAGTTTTTAATTTATGATAAAATGGTGTTTATTAATTATTATGAAATTATCTATTTAGTGAAAGATTAAAAAAAATTACTCCATAATTTCATTCCTTTCCATTTTTAATACGGGGTATATTCTTAAATTAGAGTCAAACACAACGCCAATGATATTTTGGTAAAAGTGTTAGGTAATGATTTTTTGTTATATACTCGATCACTTTGTATAAAAAAAAACCATCTCAGATTTTTACAGGTTATATCAAATCAATTGTTCCATTTTCTTTATATAAAAATTATTCTTAAAGGATCACATCTACAGTAATTTGGGCAATTGAACGGTGACATTTACGATCTCAGAAATACGGATTTGACATTTTAATACGGTGACTATTTCAGGAATTAAAAGTGCAATTTCCCTGGAACTTTTTAACCTAGGAAACTCGGCAAGATCTTTTTATACATAAAGAAAGTACATGGAGAAATAAAGCATTGATAAAAACTCATCTATTCAAGAAAAAATTCCTTAAATAGGATTAAAACAAACATTAAGGGCATATTTGGCACAACTAGCTGAAAAGATACTTTTGTGAGCTTTTTAATAGCTGTTAGCTTTTAGTGACTGAAAAGATCTTAAAAATAAAAGGTGGTAGCTGTTTGATGAAAAGCTGACTGTTTGATTTAGTTCGGTTTGGTATACAAGCTGTTTGGATTAATTAATACTAAAAGTCACTAGCTTTTCTTAGATGCTACTCCCGGTAGCATCTCAAAAAAGATCTTTTAATTTTTGAAAAGCTCTTAAATATTGTCATGCCAAACACACAACTAGAAGCTTTTAGGAACTTTTTGAACAGTAAAGCTAGAAGTCAGGGACTTATGCCTGCCAAACATAGCCTAAGTTCATAAGTAGGACTCTCTTTGTTTTATTCTTAACATAGGACTAACTCACTCACTACATAAGTCCTATTTGAATAATAAAACATACTTAGTCCTATTTTTGAACTTTGTGTATGTTTTAATCCTATATTGGACAATTTATATTTAATTAATTTATACGTGTTATATAAAGACAAAAAGAAAAACACATCAACCCTTTTTTAAAAGATTACCATATGTCATTATCCTTTTTGTACATTCCTAGATAAAAACAAACACAAGAAAATAGCTCTCCATGGCAATTTTGTCATTCCCTAGCAATTGTTGTGATTCAAACATATGTAAAATGCATATGACATGCCGAAAGGTTGAACACAGCATAATATGGAACTAAAAACAAAAATAATATGGTAAGAGTTCTCATAACCAACCTAATGAAGTTAAAAAAAAGTTTGTACTTCTTTGAGGACTTTTCTCCAGCAATTTACTTGCAAACAAGAAAATTGAACTACTTTACATCATTTATTTAATCTTCTGAATTTATATCAATGGTTCACACATGCATATGTAAAAAGACTATCAAATGTATAATCACCAACCAAAATCACATTTCAATTTCGGTAAAAATTAGGGAAAATATTGATGATTATTAACAAAAACAATGAAGTGATGGACTTGCCTACTGGGGTGCTGGCTGCTAGCGGAGAACAAAAGAAGTTGTTGGTGTTGAAGATGGAGCCTTGTTATGAGTTCTGGTATATACCCGACCGGGTATGGTAGGTTACCCGACCGAGTATGAGTAAAAAGTTTACTCGGGTAACAACCTGTGTTCTATACTCGATCGAGTATGGAGGTATACTCGGTCGAGTATGCGTAATTATCTTAGTCGAGGAGAAGCCTGGAATCTATACCCGATCGAGTATGGGTGTATACTCGATCGAGTATGCGTAGAAACCATACTCGAGTAGTAGTCTGTAATCTATACTCGATCGAGTAAGGATGTATACTCGATCGAGTATACGTGAATCTCAGTTACGGGATTAATTTTGGGCCTGCGGCTCTAATCACTTTTTAGGTTTCCTTAAACCTATTTAAACACCTCTAATGTATCCGTAAACATACCAGACGCTGGAATAATAATATATCTCTCTCTCGTTCGCCGTGGACTAGCACAATCACCCCGATTGTGTGAACCACGTAAATTCTTGTGTTCTTGCTCTTTAATTTATCGTTTTTTATCTTAATCCTTAATCGTAAGAATTGGTATCAGAGCTATGGCTGACGAAGGGAAGGTTAAGATCGATAAATTTGATGGTCAAGATTTCGCTTTCTGGAAGATGCAGATCGAGGATTATCTCTACCAGAAAAAGCTTCATCTACCCTTGTCTGAGAACAAACCAGAGACGATGGCGGAGGCGAAGTGGAACTTGTTGGACCGACAGGCTCTTGGTGTGGTGAGGTTGTCGTTGGCGAAAAACGTTGCTTACAACATCGTCAACGAGAAGACAACGTTTGGACTGCTCAAGGCGTTATCCAACATGTATGAGAAACCCTCAGCGGCCAACAAGGTTTTCTTAATCAGACAGTTGGTGAACACAAGGATGAAGGAAGGTGCATCCGTGACAGATCACATCAACGAGTTTAATTCAATCATATCCAGGTTAGGCTCGGTTGAGATTAAATTCGATGATGAAGTTCAAGCATTACTTTTGTTATCATCTTTGCCCGATAGTTGGTCTGGTACAGTCACAGCGGTTAGTAGTTCATCTGGAACCACTAAGCTTACCTTTGAAGGTATTCGTGACTTAATCCTTGGTGAGGATATCCGGAGGAGGAGTTCGGGGGATAGCTCCAACAGTTTGTTGAGTACTGAAGATAGGGGCAGAAAATCCTCTAGAGGGGGTAACAAGAAAGGAAGATCAAAGTCGAGGAAGAGAGGTCAATCCAAGAATAGGAAGGACATCAATTGTTGGAATTGCAAGGAGAATGGACACTTCAGAAATCAGTGCCCAAAATCCCCTGCAGACAAAGGCAAGAAGGAGGTGAACGTGGCAGAGGATTATGAAGATGTTCTAATTTGCAGCGTTGAAAATTCAATTGAGTCGTGGATCATGGATTCAGGTGCGTCGTTTCATGCTTGTCATTGCAGGGATTTGATGAAAAATTTCAGGCCCTACAGCGGAAGAGTTCGTTTGGCGGATGACAAATCCCTGGAGATCACGGGTATTGGGGATGTTGATCTCAGTACCACTTTGGGTACAACCTGGAGGCTGAAAGATGTGAGGTATATTCCAGACCTGAAGAAGATGTTGATCTCAGTGGGACAGCTTGATGAGGAAGGCCACAACGTTAGTTTTGGCAACAAGCAATGGAAGGTGACAAAGGGAAAACTGGTCATTGCTCGTGGACAGAAGCATGGTACACTGTACATGGTTGAAGTGTCCACAGATGGAGCAAACGCAACAGTTGAAGATACAGGGGTCTCTACTTTGTGGCACCAAAGACTTGGGCACATAAGTGAGAATGGAATGAAGATGCTGTCTTCAAAGGGCAAAATCCCAGATTTGAAGAACTCAAAGTTGAGTTTTTGTGAGCCATGTGTTCTAGGCAAGCAAAAGAGGGTAACCTTTGTGAATACAGGACAACAACCCACGACTGAGCGGCTGGAGTTGATTCATTCAGATGTCTACGGACCTACAAAGGTCTCTTCGATTGGAGGTTCCCGCTACTATGTTACATTCATTGATGACTCTACACGGAAGGTATGGGTTTATTTTCTTAAGAATAAATCCGATGTCTTTAACACTTTTAAGAAGTTCAAACCTGCAGTTGAGAATGAAACAAATCTTAAGATTAAGTGTTTAAAGAGTGATAATGGGGGTGAGTACAGTAGCACAGAGTTTGTAGAGTATTGTGTTGAACAGGGGATCGGAATGCTGAAGACGGTTCCAGAAACACCACAGCAAAATGGTGTTGCAGAGAGAATGAACAGAACACTGAATGAGAGGGCCAGGAGCATGAGACTGCATGCAGGACTTCCTAGGATGTTCTGGGCAGATGCGGTGAACACAGCAGCGTATTTGATCAACAGAGGACCCTCATCTCCCATAGGTTTCTAAATTCCAGAAGAGGAATGGAAAGGTCGAGAGGTATCTCTTAATCACTTGAAAGTTTTTGGTTGTATTTCTTATGTCAAAGTTAGAGATGCAGATAGTGATAAGCTCGAGGCAAAGGCAAAGAGATGTATCTTTATTGGGTACGGGCTGGATGACATGGGCTACAGGTTTTGGGATAACCAAAGTAAGAAGGTTATCAGAAGTAGAGATGTCACCTTCAACGAGAATGCCCTATATAAAGATGGATTTGCAGCAGATACAAGCCAAGGCAAGCAACCAGAAAACAGACAGCAAGTGGTGTTTGAAGGGATGACTGAAGATGACATAGCACAACCTGTTGGTTGTGATGAGACGGCTGGAGGCTCAGGGAGCAGTGGGAGCTCAGGAGATATAGGAATGTCTGAAGATAGTGGAAGTGATGAAGACAGTGGGAGTTCAGAAGCAGCTACTCCACACATTAGACAGTCCACTAGAATCAGAAGACCTCCTAACAGATATTCTCCTTCAGCAAATTATCTGTTGTTGACCGAGAATGGAGAGCCAGAATCTTACTCAGAGGCGCTGACTGTGAAAGATTCCATACAGTGGAAGAAGGCCATGGAAGATGAGTTAGACTCACTTGACAAGAACCAAACTTGGTCCTTAGTCAAGTTACCACCGGGAAAGAAAGCTTTGGAGAACAAGTGGGTGTTCAGAATCAAAGATGAAGCAGATGACAGGCACAGCAAAAGATACAAGGCAAGGTTAGTTGTCAAAGGGTTCCAACAGAAGAAAGGAGTTGATTACAATGAAATCTTCTCCCCGGTTGTGAAGATGACTACTATCAGGTTGATTCTTGGTATCGTGGCCGCTGAAAATCTGCATCTGGAGCAGCTGGATGTGAAGACTGCTTTTCTTCATGGAAACCTTGAAGAAAACATCTACATGGCTCAACCAGTAGGTTTCTCAGTGAGTGGGAAAGAGAAGTTGGTGTGCAAACTCAAGAAAAGTATACGGACTGAAGCAAGCTCCTAGGCAGTGGTACTTGAAGTTTGACAGTTTTATGCAGCGGAATGGGTACACTAGATGCAAGATGGACCATTGCTGTTACTTGAAGAAATTCAAGTCATCATACATTATTCTTCTTTTATATGTTGATGACATGTTGGTGGCTGGATCAAACATGTAGGAGATCAACAAGCTCAAGAAGAAGTTGTCCGAAGAATTTGAGATGAAGGATTTAGGGGAGGCGAGACAGATTCTTGGGATGAGCATAGTCAGAGACAAGGTGGAAGGTACTTTAAAGCTTTCACAGCAGAAGTACATTCAGAAAGTCCTTGAGAAGTTCAGAATGACGGATGCCAAACCAAGGAGTACACCGTTAGGGAGTCAATTGAAACTCTCCAAGCAGCAGTCTCCGAAGACCAATGAAGACAAAGATGAGATGGCTAAAGTTCCTTATGCATCAGCAGTTGGCAGTTTAATGTACGCAATGGTGTCAACAAGGCAAGACATTGCTCATGCAGTGGGAGTTGTTAGCAGGTTCATGTCGAATCCAGGGAAGGAACATTGGGAAGGAGTCAAGTGGCTGCTACGCTACTTGAAAGGTACCTCTGGAACTGCTCTTTGTTTCAGAAGGAATGGTGTAATCCTAGAAGGATTTGCCGATGCTAATTTGGGGGGCTGTTATGATTCCGGGAAGAGCACCACGGGTTACATATTCACAATTGGAGGTACGGCGATCAGTTGGATGTCTAGACTACAAAAGAGTGGCTCTTTCAACCACAGAAGCAGATTATATGGCACTTGCTGAAGCGGCCAAGGAACTGATTTGGTTGAAGAACTTTCTTTCGGAGTTGGGCATGAAACATGGGGATTGCGGTCTATACTGTGACAACCAGAGTGCTATTCATCTCGCAAAGAATCCAGTGTTTCACAGCAGAACGAAGCATATCAAGATGCGATACCATTTCATCCGAGAGTTGATTGAAGACGGTATCATAAATGTGAAGAAGATCCTTGGTACGAAGAATCCAGCAGACATGCTTACCAAGGTGGTGACAACGGAGAAGTTGAAGCTATGCATGGCTTCAACTGGCCTTCCAAATACTTGATGAGAAAGCGTGAACGAGAGAGAGAGAGAGAGAGAGAGAGAGAGAGATCAGGTGTTTTGCAGAGGATACATGCTCTTGGATGGCAGATGATTGTGGAACAAGCCTCCAAGTGGGAGATTGTTGAAGATGGAGCCTTGTTATGAGTTCTGGTATATACCTGACCGGGTATGGTAGGTTACCCGACCGAGTATGAGTAAAAAGTTTACTCGGGTAACAACATGTGTTCTATACTCGATCGAGTATGGAGGTATACTCGGTCGAGTATGCGTAATTATCTTAGTCGAGGAGAAGCCTGGAATCTATACCCGATCGAGTATGGGTGTATACTCGATCGAGTATGCGTAGAAACCATACTCGAGTAGTAGTCTGTAATCTATACTCGATCGAGTAAGGATGTATACTCGATCGAGTATACGTGAATCTCAGTTACGGGATTAATTTTGGGCCTGCGGCTCTAATCACTTTTTAGGTTTCCTTAAACCTATTTAAACACCTCTAATGTATCCGTAAACATACCAGACGCTGGAATAATAATATATATCTCTCTCGTTCGCCGTGGACTAGCACAATACACCCCGATTGTGTGAACCACGTAAATTCTTGTGTTCTTGCTCTTTAATTTATCGTTTTTGATCTTAATCCTTAATCGTAAGAGTTGGCGGAGGGGGGATGGCGGGGGACAACGAAGTCACGAGATGGAGATAAGCTAGAGAGAAACAGAGTCTTTCATTCCCGGCAATGAGTTGTGCAACAGGACTACAGGAGGGGCTGATAAATTATTTCATGACACCATATAAACCAACAACCATCAGTTTAATTTTATACATGTTCTTCACTTTGTAAGCCCTTAGTCACCTTTAGATAATGTGACATGTGAGTATAGAATATTTTGGAAATAGCAAAGTTTATGCCCAAGATTACTTTTTTATAATTGCTGTAATTGGCTGGGAGAATATAACATCTTCAAATGATCATTTATATTTTATACAGTATAAATTAATGCTTCCTATAAATCTGTCTTTTTCACCATTAACGGTCCATCGCAAATTTGTACTCCCTCCGTCCCTAAATAAACTTCCAACTTTCCTTTTTCGTCTGTCCCAATTAAAACTTCCACTTTCCCTTTTTGGCAAAGAATTTGTGATTCACAACAATTCTTACACATTTCTCTCTCCTCTGCACAATTCTCCACCACACAATATCCACTATCTTAAACTGTGTGCCAAACCTATTTGGAAGATAAATTAGGGACGGAGGGAGTATTATACTATTATGTACTGGTACATTTCTTTGGGAAAAGAAAAAACGAAAATTAGACCCTACTACAAGTATTACTGGCACAACAACAATACTATTTTACTACTGGTGCAACAAACAAGCGCATTATGATTTATTAATTGTTACTAACAATTTCTATTTACACAAAATCGTGCAGAGAGCTAGGCTAGCTAGCTGGATGGCTTTGCCCCAAGGATTTTGGAAAGCTCCTTTACCATCATAGTCTTCTCCTTATTAACGCCTACTTCCCTTTCCCAATGCCATTTCTTTGACACATCGCCCGCCTGAAATTTTGTTAATTTTCACAATCATTAGGTTTATATACAGTCTGTGACTCTGTTTCAAGGACGGTTCAGTCTGTACCCAAGTTCTCAAAGGACTCAGCCGCTCCTTGAGCGCTTCGAATCTTGGGTGAATAATGTCTTTTCCTTTGGTCCTTATATCATCAGCCTGTTCAGACAGGCAAATGATTAGCCTTGCACAATACACTACGCTCTCACAATTACCAGATTGTAAATTCACTATACCCTCAATAATGTTGTGTGAGTGACCGTGTGTATATATTTTGTTACAAATGAGAGATCACAAACGCTGTTGGTACATATATTTTGTACACATTGTGGGTACTCCCCCTAGTTGTTTGTCTACACAAGCAATTCGTTCAGAAGTTGCCTTGTAAACAAACAACTAGGGGGTGTACATAAAAGGTGTGAAAAATTTGTGTACACCAAGAATGGTTCATGAGAGATATATAGAATAGATGAAGTCAGGCACGCCCAATGGGAATTCCAGTCAGACACTTTAATTTTGGACAAAAATAATTCAACAGGTTTCCTTCATTAATATCAACTACTAATTTCAATTGTTGGATCATGGGAGAAGGAATTAGTATACCCTTGAAATTATTTTTCAGAGAACATATATATCACTTGATTAAAAAAAAAACTATTTGGTCAGAAGGGTACATTTGTTCTAAATTTACAATTTTTGTGTCAATTGTATAGAAGATTCCAGAATATTATTATCTATTACATCAGTTATAATTATTTATTAAAATCTTCAGTCACATATCTTTGTAGTTATTACTGTAATTAGTAGTTCCTTACACACTCCCTACACCATTATATAATTACCATCACATGCTATGGAATACAGTCCATAGCAAGAAATACAGTCCGAAATTTTCTGTCTTACTAAACTTCTTTAAATTGTTCCAAAAGAATGTTGATGGGCATATGAGTCTTTGACGTACAATTTAGGGGCATATATGTTTCTTCTCCCATTCAGAAGGAGAGAAAATGGATTACTAACTTTTATAATTGAACAAATTGAACATCTACTAGTTGACAATTAGATAAACTAAAGAGCATAAAACAGAATCGTTGAATTGCAAATTTTGATGCTTGTATGACCAAATTCATGTTAGATACAGATAAGACTCGCATGAAGGGAACACTACTCTCCCTATCACAGACGTGAGGATATTAGTACATGAGATGGATCATATGCTTACATTGTGAAGTTCCATCTTAGAGGCAGCCAATCCAAATGCCAAGGCGGCACCACCAAAGACAAAAGTTGTAGCAGCAGCAAATGCCTTGCCAACTACAAATGACCAATGTTTCAGATGTCAAATATATATGTTACCAAACATCACATGGCAGTTATTAAATATTATTTTGCAAATGAAACCTCCACACATGCAATGATCAGATCACCAGACTTTGATTGCACAGAATAGAACACAGGCAATGATCAGATCACCAGACTTTGATTGCACAATGCAAAAGTTATTCACTTATCAAACATAATGTGTATCGCCCATTTACTTAACCAATGAAACTGGATCATAAGTACTTTTATTAGCCTTCAATCTGTTTAGAAGGTGTATGCAGGACAGTGGTAAAGGGACTATCCAATATGACAAAAAGAAGAAGACAGAACTCTACCATACAAGAGCATGCAATTCATGGTATATCGGGTTTCTGTAGAAATCTGTTTTCACTTTTCAATGATCATATACCATGTCAGTTTTTATATATATTTATAATATGAAGTGCACCATTTGATGGGGCGTAAAAACATGGAGGGGTTGGATCCCCCATTCTTTCGCCGAGTTGGACACACACACATATATATACAAATATTTATGAACTACAAAACAACATGTTGATATAAGCTTTGCCCCCCTAATACAACATTTTTGGCTCCATCCTTGCTTGGACAACAACAAATGCAACTATTTGCTTTTTCTTGTGAGAAATCTCTCATTAGGGCATGATATAAAAATAGAACAGCTTGTTTTTTGTTACATTCAGTGAACAAAAGCTACTTTCCACACTGCAATTTTCTAACCCATCATATAGGTATGTAAGTATAAATTTTACTGGAGGAATAAATTCCTACAACAGAAATGAATGACTGATACACATTTATATATATAAAGACTTGCAGCGTATCCTGAATTCATTAAGTGGTGTTAGACAAGTAAACAGTGCTTACTAAGCAACAATACACATCAATGAGAATATCAGTAAACCAAATTTATGTATGAGAAAGAAACATGAATGGCTTAATCTTACTTTGAGACAGTCCTGCAGCTGCAGCCCTTAGCTTTTCAGGATTAACTGTGGTTTGTCTGTCACTTCGCAATTCATTTGCAGTTGAGGCGAGTAATGGGTTCTCAGAGCTAGGCAGCTGCCATCTAGGCAAATATTTAACACAAAGTTATAATAAAAAAATCTTTGTTTAAATGTGTATGTGTGTGTGAGATAACACTATGAAAACACGGTAAATGGAATGAAGTCCTAAAACAGATCAGATCAGCAAACATAACATAAATCTTTATATCAAACTCTATGAGTATTTAAAAGCCTTTGTGGAGATCATACCATCTTACAAGTGGAAGATTCAAATTTAGGCAAAGTTCAATCATTTAATTAGTTAATTCTATATCTATGTTCTCTTCATCAATGTAACTATCATACGTATAACTAACAAGGTTCAATCACGAAATGAGACTTTTCGACTATCACTTCTCTGTTGGTTATATATCAAATTTAAGTGCCAAATACCATTAATTCATTACTTTCATTCCTTAATAATCACCACTTATTAGATGGAATCACCAATAACGTTAAAATCTGAAACTAGTCAACTACAGCTGAAGGATCAATCATTTCTGTTTCAACAAAACATCCTATTTCATGTTTCAACATGACAGCCAGAAATTAAGCACCCCCGGTGGGAAAAAATATATTCTTTCGATCAATATAAGGTCAGGCGTCAAAATAATAATTAAGGAATAAGAGGAAGGAAAACCGACCTTTTAGGTCCAAAGGTGACTTGGGGAATAGAAACATAAGCTTTGAGAGGGTTCATAGCATCAGGGGACACAAACGAAGTGGAATTGGGGTCACTTCGGACGACCCATTTGGTAGCTGCTGTAAGAGGTGCGTCCGAAGAGGTTGACGACTGCGGAGATTGGAAGATCTTAGGCGGCAGTGAATGCCTTAAAACCTCTGGCAGAACATCTGCAGCTTCGGAATCTTCGCTCCGGGCGACGGAATTGGCGGTTGTGGGTGATGAAGAAGGAGGTTTCTTCCGCGCGAGACGAGCGACGGCTTGTTTGGATTCGTTTAAGAAATAGGCGCCCTCTGTTGCTGCTAATCTTCCCGCAAGAAAGCTCATTTTGCCGGACTTCCTTCTACAACTTCTTGTCTCACAGAGTCAAGAGGCCAATGAGTGTTGATTAACACACTTATTGTCATTATTAGTGTAACATTTAAGCTAAAAACATGAGTACTATACGTTACATTAATGTAAACTCTTTTTTTAATATTAAAAATCCCGGTTTCACTACAATAATCTTAGACTTTCAAGTTTCACTCAAGAACTTCTCATAGATGTAAATATGAGAAGTTCAAACAATTCATTAGGTTCCCTATGTCCATCCATACACCATCACACACAAGAAATTGATTTTAACGAATGGACACATGTCCACATGTCTCACACGCAACTACCTGAAAACCCCATTATTGATTGGTCAAACACTGTCACGCCCCTTGCAAGAAGCCAACTCTCACAGTCTCACACTGCAGTTTGAGGCGAGATAAAGAAGTGGTTGCACGATCACTCAAGCTATCCCTGGGACTACACGATCATGATTTCAGAATAAATGAAATAGTGGGGGGGGCTCGTCCTTCGCTCTCATCTAAATCGGAACCATAGTCACCGGTATTTTAACTAGTATTACGTTTTTAATACCACGATCTTGTCTCACAAAATTTAAAATTGATGGTTCTTGTTCACAACCAGTTTCTAAAAAACTAATAATGGAAATGATAACAACAATACGAATAATAATGATAGTAGTTGTTGTTGTACTAACAATAAAAAATGTTAATGGAGGCGGCAAAAATAAATTATAGTTTCCTAATAGCTTTATTTTTATAATAATTTCGCTTTGCGTTAACGGTGCATAACTTTTTCAAATTAGAAGCATGGAATGCCATACTTTTTCGTTTCTCTGTTATATGATTAGCGATTTTTGGGACACATTTGTAAGCGATAGAGTAATTTGATTATTAGTCTTAAATTTATTGTAATGATTTTTTATTCACTAATATCATTAAAGACAATTCCGTTCATATAATATTATTATTACTTATTAGTTATTATTAGTTAGAAGATCAAATCAGACCAAATCAAATTTTAATATGGAATAAATGATAACAGAAAATTTCAATCTAAGTGAAACACCCTTATACAAATTTACAAAAAAAAAAACTCGGTTATGTTTATATACTACAATGTAGATTGTACTGCCTAATTTGTGGTTACTATTCGTAGTTAAATTTCAATCCAAATGAACAAAATAGTTATGTTAACATCCTCTATATATACAGAGTATTTTAGTAAAACTAACTGATTATTTTAGTAAAGAATCTCCATATAACTTGTTGGCTTCAGGGCTCAGGCTAACTTTAAAATTTTAATACTCCTTAAAATTAAAAAACAGCAAATCGAGCTCAATCACATTTCAATTTTCTTAGACTCAACACTGAAGCGGTCTATTCAAACGGGGTTTCATTTTAACATTTTTTATCATTTGCATGCTTCAATTTCAATTATTTACAGAAATTAACTTTATATCAACTCCAATTCGCAAATTAATCTCTCACAGAATTAAATGTTCATTGCACTCAACTTTGCTACAAGCCTACAAGGGTTCCATTGCTTCTAGTGTACGTTTTTATTATATTCATTTGCTCTATTTTGATTAGAACCGAACCAACTATTGAACTATGTTTAGTTAATTCCGTATTTGTGGACAATTTGCAGATGCAGGTATGTAATTATTTGTGGACAATTTGCAGATTGGCTAGCAGATTGATGTTACAATTGTTTATCCAAGGTTAATTATCACACTGTACTAGATCGTATTGGAGAGAAATATTGCTTCATTTTTATTTATACTTTTTTTAGATTTACTAGTAATTGTTAATTGGTTCAGTGATTAGCTAGAAGAGTGACAACCCAGTCATTTATACAAAAGGTATACACAAAATTTAACCAACAAAACCATACTCCACATTAGTTTTTTAATTCAATTTTTTCTTGATAAGATGTAATGACATAATACTGAGCGTATTACGTATCAAAACCTTTTATTAGGAGAATAAAAGGAAAAAGTGTATCTGAGACAATTCAGCAGAACACAAATCTGCTATGCAATTGCATACATAAACCAATTTAAGCCTAAACACTGCATGTACTAACTTATATTGTTGCTTCCTCGGTTTTCCAGACGACATCTTTCAACCCCGTTGCGAGGTTCTTAGAGAACTTCTGAAATTCCAAGGTATCCCCTCCAGCCTTCTGAAGCTCTACTATGTGAAAAAGAGGGGTGACTTCAAGAATCTTTGTTGCGATGGATAAATGACCTTTGCGTCCCGTCTTCTCCCCATGAAGCTTTAGCTTGTGCTGATCTTTCTTCACATTGAAACCCAAAGGCACTGCTGTTTCTTCGATCTTTGAGATTATCTCTGCAGCAGGATGTTTCGAAGTAAATCTTGTTTCTCTTTTGACATGACCCGCTTGCTTTTCGAAAAGAGAACTAAGATTGAGACCCTGAGATCTTGAAATTAGCTCGAAAGCGTTCATTGAAAGCGGTGCAGCAGGTAGCTCTTCCCGTCTCTCCACAACTGATTCATCAAAGATCGCATTGACATCATCGAGATGAACGTCTTCCTGTCCGAAGACTGGTGGCTGATAACCTTTCTTGAACCAGGCATTCTCGATTACCTCTGCAATTGTAATTCGCGTATGAGGATTGGGGTCCAGCATTCTATTGATAAGTTTCTTTGCACTTGAGGAGAACCAGGGTGGACACGTGAACTCAGCTTTGTGTATCTTCTTGTATAATACCATAAGATTTGGGTCTTCAAACGGTAAATAACCAGCCATGAGTACATAAAGTATCACACCGCAAGACCAAAGATCAGCCTTAGCTCCATCATAACCCTTATTGTTGATCACCTCAGGAGCAATATAATTTGGTGTTCCACATGATGTATGCAGCAACCCATCTTCCCGAACCTGTTGCGGAAGTGCACTCAATCCGAAATCAGAGACTTTGAGTACCCCATTGGAACACAACAACAGATTTTCCGGCTTCAGGTCTCTGTGGAACACACCTCTGCTATGGCAGTAATCCACAGCATTAATCAACTGCTGAAAATACTTCCTGGCTTCATCTTCTCTGAGTTTCCCCTGACTGGTAATTTTGTCAAATAGTTCACCACCAGTAACATATTCCATAACAATATATATCTTTGACTTGCTTGCAATGACCTCAATCATTCGGATGACATTCGGATGCCTAACGAGCTTCATGGTCGAGATCTCGCGTTTAATCTGAGAAACCATCCTGTGTTTAAGAAGGTGCTCTTTGTCAAGAATCTTGACAGCCACATTTCCCCCTGTTTCTACATTCCTAGCAAACTTCACCTTTGCAAATGTTCCCTCTCCCAATGTCCTGCCCAACTCATACTTACCTACTCTTGTTCCAGCACCCCCACTACTCGTTGGATATGAAGGCATCCTTGGATTTGAAGGGATACCCACACTTCTTATACTGTCTATAATCCCAGGGATTATGCAGATTCCTTTGGTGGTTTGGGCCTTGGCTCAGATAAACTAAATGCAAATCCCATCCATTTTTCCTTCCTATTTCTAAACACACCCTTTTCTTTATTCAGACTAAAGCCTCCTCTTTTCCCAGGATGCCAGATTTGAGACTTCGCAACATTCATCTCTGCCAATCCAGTATACTAGATCAAACAAAAGTGAAAAAAATAAAGAAGGTAAGGCAATCAAGAAACAATGGCGACTCAAGAAAGCGATCAAGAAACAGGGGAAGCCATAAACAAGGAATTTGGGAATGATCTAGGGATTGTTGAAGGTAAAATTTAATGGGGTGTGATAAAAAAATATGATCAGGAGACAAGATTGGGGGTTCCTGAAACCGACATACCGTGTTTCTGCCGTGTACGATGTAGGAGGAAGTGGATGCAACGGTGAATTGAGGAGCACGATGGGTGAATATATATAGGATCTGAGGAGGATGCGGCGGCTCGGGTGAGGGATTTGATAACTACGTGAGAGGAACACGAATGTTACTAGGAGTTTCCTAATTGTAGTTTCATGTTTTTAAAAGGACGGGCCATATTGCACCGTCATTGAAAGCGTCGGATTATTCCGGAATTGACCCGTCCACAGCAATATTGGACCCGATTTGGATTTTAACTGTAGAAAAAACTTTATGGTTATTAATTTGGATTTTAATTAAGAAGTTACCTTTTTAATTACAAAAAAATAACTCTTTCTTGAATAAATATTCCAATAAAATTAAGATGACAACCCGTACCCATTTAAAAAATGAGGTACCACACTTATGATTCCATTGATTGGTCCAAATCATTATACTAGTATCATTTTTAATTTAGATTTAAATAGTTCAACCGTTTCATTCTAATTGATTTATGTGTACAAAAATATGGTACCTCAAGGGCACCATAGAATATATCTAAAGTTAAATCTAAATTTGCTCTTCATTGTTGTTAGATAATACTCTAATACATTTTAGATATAAAATATATTTAAGAATAATAAATTAATTAATTGTGGTCCAATCGGGCCGGATCTAAATATTATAGGTTTGGACCGATCGGTCCGGAGCAAGAAACTTCAAAAAGCTTAGATCGGAAATCGGACCTGTATGTAACTAGTCCGAGTCAAATTTGGATTGACCAGCCCGATTTTCTCCGTTTTTCCGGTCTGTTCCACTTTGTAAGATACATTTCCTTTTTGTGTTTCTAAAAACATGAAAATTACTTTAACTTAAACTCTCTTTTTTTCACACTAACCCTTTATATATCATTTCATCATGTGTTTGTGGACTCTTTACTTTTTCTTACATTTTAGAGGTTTGAATTGTAATTTAACCTCTCCACATGTATCTCACATTATGAGATAGATGAAGTATTACTCTATAATCATATATAGAGCTAACGACAAATCCACATGTATCTCATGAGATAGATGAAGTTATTACTCTATATTAATACTACAATCATTTGATAACATCTCATTGGATCTTGAGCACAACTTTTGAGAGATTAACCTCATATATTGTCATATTCATCTCTTTAATAACTTCAACTAAGACAATATCCATATGTAGAAGATCTT